TTATATTTTTTTTATTTAATGCAAGCTTTACTGAAATATAATTTACATACCATACTATTCATAAAAAGCATATAATTTTTAATATTGAAATTGTATTCTGAGACGTGTGAAGATAAACCGATTTACATCACAATGAATTTCAATTAATATGGTTGAATTAATAACATAAGCATTATCAGCTTATCTATAAATTTAGACTACCATTTCACCCAGTACCTACTAAAATATCAATGATAGTTACCAAAATGTCATACAAAGTGGTCGAAGAAATTTAACCACTTCCCAGAGAGGCTGTCTGTCCAGATCTAACTAATATGAACTATCAGAGTTAACAGTTACAAGTTTATTGAAAGTATAAATGATGATCAAAATGTATGATAGATAGGGCCAGGGATTTAGCCCAGTTGGTTTTGCCGCCTGCTGCACAAGCGCAAGGACCCAAGTTCAATCCCCGGTACGAAAAAAAAAGTGTATGATAGATAATGTGAAATAGGAAGAAAAGGTCCAAAGGGGAAGTGGGAGGGGTAGGGGAAAGAAAAGAAGGGAAAGGAAAAAATATGAGAAAAGGGAAAAACAGCAACAAAGTCTTTGTAAATAGAGAGGGGTGGAAGGGTTGAAGGGAGGGCAGGGGAATGGGGAAAAAAATAAGAACCAAAATATATCATGTAAAGGTACAGATTCCCAATGATAAATGTCATCATATAGCATACCTAAAATGTACCAATAAACTTATGAATTTTTTTAAAGTTTCAAGTTTATTTTGAAAGCATTAAGACTTGTAAATTACTCCAGAATATTTTTGAAAAATTGTTAAAGGATAAGATTTTCATATGACATATGTGGTTATCAATTGAAGGTGATTTTGTCCTTCAAGTGACTTGGACATCGAGAAACATTTTTGGTTTTGAAACTTGGGTGAGGGGAACCACTATGATCCAGCAGGCAGAAGCTAGGAGTGCCGCAAACCATCCTATACAGGATGCAGAAGAAAGTTCTCTCCACAACAAATAATTCCCTGACTCCAAATGGCAAGTGTCAAGGTTGGGAAAGACTGTTTGAAACCATCTAAAACAGTGGTGACGAACCTGTGGCACACGTGCTGCAGCAGGGGCTATTTGTATCGAGAGCTCTAAAAGGTTTGTCATCACTGGTCTACAACATGATGCAATATAAAATGCTGCCAGAATAGGAATTTGTTAATAAGTTATACTTCCACCACACCTTGGTTGTCACAATATTTAATACCAAATTTGCAAAGAGGCAGTATGGATGTAACATTATGTGGGATTTGAGAGAACTGACTTTGGTGCCAAAGACCAAAAATGAAATTTCCAACCTATTCTAACAAGTCCCAACCTAAGTCTTTAGTGGTAAAAATAATACCAGTAATGCCTCTCTTGTAAGTTGTGAAAAATATTAAATGAGAGATATTTTCTAAGGGCCTGGCACTGAGGCTGGGCTTGGTAAAGTCACAATTACAAATACATAAAAGGAATGTAGGTTTCTTCCAGTACTGAACCAATATTTAACCCAAACTAGATTTCTTACAAAATCAGTAATTTACCTTCACTGGTCCCATCTTCTGGACCTAAAGTATTCCTGTTACAAAACCTGTTTACGCTGGGTGTGTTGGCATACGCCTGTAATCCTAGCACTGGGGAGGCCAGGCAGGAGGACTGCCATGAGTGGGAGGCCAGCCTGGGCTACATAGTGAGTTCAAGGCCAGCCTGAACCATATAAGGAGAACCTGTCTCGAACAAACAAACAAACAAACAAAAACCTGTCTGTTCTAGAACCATGTCCATTATCTTTCTGTGATTTAGAAACTATTTTATCTTCATCTGGCAGATCACTTCCACCGGAACTCCATGTTATGTCTGTAAGCTCACTGGCACTCTTGTATGTGGTAGTTTCCTTCTTTGGTTTTGGAGATAATTCAGGGTGCTTTCCTGTAATAGTTGCCTTTTCAGCTGTTTATGATGACTCCCAGAAGTATCCTGAAATTCTTGGGCCGGAATTTAGCTCAGTGGCGACACGCCTGCCTTGCAAGTGGAGGGTCCTGAGTTCCATCCCCAGTACCAAAAGAACAACGACAACAACAAAAAGAAATCCTTCTCTGGGCCAGGGATTTAGCTCAGTGGTTCCACCGCCTGCCTCGAAAGCTGAGGACCCTGGTTTGGTCCCCGGTACTAAAAAAAAAAAGAAATCCTTCTCTGCATTTGAGCTAAGCTTCAGAGAGGGTGACAGCTGCACAGACTGTCCTGAGACCTGTTCTTTGGGATTGCAGTGGGCTCTTTTCTGGAAAGGATGGGCATTCTGTATCCCAACTCCTTTTCCTCTTGGGACCACAAGCATAGCCAGCCCCAGGGCATCTCTACACACGCATTGCCTCTTCCTCCATTTTTATTGTTAATTTAAAAAGATATAGCTATTTATAGTATAGGTATGCCTGTCACCTCTGCCAAACTCTGCACATTTTAAGTAAAAAACGGCCTGTTTTCTTTGCTTTTTATTCTCTGGCACTCACTAGGCAACAATAAACATTTGTAGAATTAGATAATTTTTTTTTGGTACTGGGGATCAAATTTGGGACCTTGTGCTTGTGAGGCAGGCAGCGGCACCACTGAGCTAAATCCCCAGCCCTAGATAATTGACTAGTCCTAACAAGTCTCCTCATTCCAGTCCATCCCATATGTAATTGCCAGATTCATATTTGTGACATTGTCTTGTTTAAAATCTTCAGTGGTTCCCTATTGCCTACAGAGTAAAGTCTAAACGCCTTAGCTGAGTTTTTGGGTTACTCAATTATCTGATCTTAATGTCAACTTTAGTCCTACTTTATTTCTTACTAGTTAGCCAAACTGATCCATCCACTATTCCCAAGAGTCCCCATCCCTTTTCTACACCCATATCTTGATTCATATTGTTTCTTATTCCTGAAGAGCCCTCTCCTATCCTAATTCATCCTTAGGACCTTCAAATGCCCCCTTTTTCATAAAGCAGTCTTGATGATCTTAGACTGTAGTGATCTTTCCCATGTTGGAGTCTCTAAGATGCTAACTGACTGCTTGCTGCCTGTCACATTTTCACTTTATGGAGGTAATTTATGGATATGTACTTACTATAGTCTCTTAAAGGGCAGGTCTAAGATGATTCATCTTTGCATGCTATACTTATAAGTAGAAATAGCCAACTGGTGACTTCTAGAAAGGCTAAATGATTGAATATATGAATAAACAAGCTCCCTGAAATTGTACCCTGTCCATAGGTTGATTTGGAGAGGAATGGCAAGTTAGGGTATGATACATAGGTCACAGTGAGACACTGGGAAAGGAGGTATTCCTTGCTCCTGCCTGCATGTTCTAGTAGCCCAGTTATACCAAGCCTATTTGGAATATTCACTGAAGGCTTGCATGTTCCAGGCCCCATACTTGCCATTGGAGATACAAAAGAACATGTGTCTGCAGTGTAGACACCCTGCAGATAGCAAGGTGTTCTGGGGCTCTGGCCTTTTGTATTGGTCATGCAGGCACCAAATCATATCACCAAGTTAGGCCTTGCTCACTGTGCTGAACTTTGTCCCTGACTTACCACATGTACCTCAGTATTGCTTGACATGGGTAGTTTGTGCTGGGTACTTTGACTAAATCCATTCCAATAATTTAGGTTAATGTTTAAAAATTTAACTCTAGTTAGATTTTAAGTTGGGTTATGTTTAATTTTTTTTTTTTTTTTGGTACTGGGGATCCAACGTGGGACCTTGTGCAGTGGAACCACTGAGCTAAATCCCCAGCCCTGATTTTTATCTTTGTTAAAGCCAGCTTTGCTGTGGAGCTCAGAAAAATTGGCAGTAAAAGTGTTTACATTCACTATTTTCAGAACTTTTGGTGGACTTTTCTAGTCACTTACTCTATTCCATTATTTTCCACTGTTGGGAAATACTATGTAATTTTATCCCAGTCAGTCAACATTGATATTTCATTAGGGAGGGATTAGAAGGACTTGTATAGTTAACAGTCAGGTATCACCATGGAACCACACATGAAGGACAAGTCTACTCCTTTAGAAATCTGATTTAGTGCCTTCAGAACCATCTTTCCTCACACCTGTACTCTTTATGCTGGTACCTATATTTTCCAGCCATACTTGAAGTTGTAAGAATCCTCCATGTGTCACTTCCCCAGGGTAATTCCTGCCTCTGATTTAGGATGCCCCTTAGGCTCCTCATCCCTCAAAAATCCTCCCATTCTTTTTCTCCCTCCTTCTTTCCCCTTCTGAGTTACTTGTCTCTTACATCCTTTCCTTAGCACTCTGCACATTTCTGTCAGAGAATTTAACTGGGTACACTATAGTCATTAGTTTACTTGTCTGTTTTTTTTCTGGTAAGCCAATGTTTCCCCAAAAGATAAGCCTATCTAATTTTCTTTTATATATCTAGATTAACACAATGCCTGCTATGTATTAGATGCTTATTAATTTTTTTTTGGTACTGGGGATCGAACTCTGGACCTTGTGCTTGCAAGGCAGGTGCCAGAACCACTGAGCCAAATCCCTGGCAATGCTTATTAACTGACAGTTCATTACCCAGCTTTCTAAATTCCATCTCAGCCAGGCATTGTGGTTCACACCTATAATCCCAGCACTAGGGAGGCTGAAGCAGGAGGATTGCTGTGAGTTCAAGGCCAACCTGGACTATGTAGTGAAACCTTTCAAAAAACAAACTGCTGGACAGGGTGTTGCACACCTGTAATCCCAGAACTCTAGTGGCTGAGGCAGGAGGATCTCTGTGAGTTCAAGGCCAGCCTGGGCTACCTAGCCAGTTCAAGGGTAACCTAAATGACATACCAAGAGCCTGTCTCAAAACAAAACAAAAACAAATAAATCCCATCTCAGGGATGGAAACTACTGAGAATTACTTTTAACTTTTTTTGGTATTTGGCTAACATAAAAACAACACAGAATTCAGTTCTTGAGCAGCTTCTGTCCTGTGAGCAATAATTCTATTCGTTGGCATTTAACTGTCATAAAAGTAGATGAACCAGACAATCTTAAACCTAAGAAAAGGTGGAGAAGGGTGGAGTAAACAATAAAGAAGGGAGTGAGTTAGCAAAATTCCACCCAGTTACAAACTAGCACAAAGGTGACTGTGCTTTATGAAGTTAGCTTGATTCATTGGAGCTCAAAGAGGAGCAAAGAGCAGAGGCAACCACCAGTGAAAGCGGGACTTCACAGCAAACAGCAGACATGAGCAGGTAAGCACCTGGATGGGACTCTGGTCCTCTCCCATTGTGGTGTGTCAGGCTCTAGGAAGCAGGAAAGAAGGGAAGCCAGAGTCTGAAGCTCTGGGATGGCTGGGTGGGAAGGACTAGTGTTTGCTGTAGGTGTAAAGAAACACTAAAGAGAATGTAGAAGGAGATACGCATAGTGAGTGACAAACACTGGCTAGCACCAGTGTCTCAAAGAATTAAAGAAAGCTTTGGGCCGGGGATTTAGCTCAGTGGTTTTGCCGCCTGCTGTGCAAGTGCAAGGACCAGAGTTTGATCCCCGGTACCAAAAAAAAAAAAGAAAAGAAAAGAAAAGAAGGAGCTTTTCAGAGGATGAATAAAAGATGTTGAGAAAACCAGTTGTGAAGAGTGGGTTTAAAGATACTGGTGTATTTTCTCCAGGCTATTAAAACCAAAAAACTTGACTATGTGCATTATTTTGAGTAGAATACAAAATCTGACACATTTGGACAAATAACACCTTTATGTAACTGACACATTTGGAAAAAAATTCTCCCAGCTTAGAATCCTGATCTTCCAGTGGTTGGGTAATTAATCATTTGGAAAGAAATCAGCTGTTATTAACTAGGTGCAATCTGGTGTCTGTTATAGGCGCCTCGTTTATTCCTAGTATGTTTTAGCACTATTCTAGCACTACAAGTACAACAGAAACAAAACAAAATCTCTGCAGACATGTGAGGTGTGATTTAAAAAGCATACAGTGGGGCTGGGGATTTACCTTAGTGGTGCTGCTGCCTGCCTCACAAGTGCAAGGTCCCGAGTTCGATCCCCAGTACCAAAAAAAAAAAAAAAAAAAAGTAAATGACCAAGCTGGGCAGATTAGGGTCATGTAAAATAGGATGCTGTTCTACAGACTCAAAATTACAAATTTTCTTAATACCATTTTTAAGACAGCTGATCTTAAAGAAAAGTGAGGTTGGAAGTGGTGTTAGAAGGTAGATGCTGAAGGCAGAAAGAGCAGTTTTTGTATTGCTCCTTTGCTTGCCTCTAAAATCTCTTGTTTGTTTTATACTCAACACCTGGTATGACGCTGCAGTTTTTTACTCCGTGAAAATGGATACCTGGGGTGCATTTTTTTCCCTTTTAAATCTTTTCTGGAAGGAAAACAAATGTTTGCTGAGTGGAAATAGAAGCTGGAGAGGTTTTTTAGAAACCACAAGAAAAAGAAAACAAGTATGAGTGACCCCTGAAAAAACTGCACTCACAGAAAGGGAGGAAAGCTGATGCTTGGAGCACCTCTAATGCACTTCTTGAGGGAAAAGAGATATGGAGTGTTAGACAAAGCAAGAGTCTACTGTTGATATGCAGAGTCTAAGACAAAGCTATTTGTTTTCAGTCATTTAGATGGATCTACATGACCAGCCTGTTTGCTGTAAGAACCAGCCAAAGAGAGTGCTTTAAGATGTGAGTATGAATCTGGCCAGGCAGCTACCCTCTTTTAGTGGTTGATTTCCTAGGATGAAATTTCCTTTGTTTGGGATTCTGAAAGTTGAACTATTCTCATTGTTTCTTTCTCTAGCCAGTAGTTCTAATTCTTAGACATAGGATAGAAGTTCAACCTTGAATTGTGTTAAAAAGGATGATTCCAGTCTGCCTTTTTAGTAGCAAGAACAACTCTAGTTATTTTAAATATATCTAAATTCCAAGTACAATTAACTTTCATTTATTTTACATAATACAGCACCTCTGGGAAGGGAGTCTTCTTTGGGGAGGGTGCTGGGATTTGAACCTAGGGCCTTCACACTGAGCACCCCAGCCCTTTTTTATTATTTTTGTTTTAAATTTTTGAGACAGGATCTCACTCAACGGTCCAGGCTGGGCTTGAATTTATTTACTTTATTTATTTATTTATTTATTTAGAGACAAGGTCTTGCTATGTAGCACAGGCAGGCCTTGAACTCACGGCAGTCCTCCTGCCTCAGTCTTCCAAACTCTAGGATTACAGGAATGGGCCACTGCATGGGCTTGAATTTACAATCCTCCTGCCTCAGCCTTCTAAAGTGCTGGGATTACAGGTATGAGCCACCAGGCCCAGAATTCAGGCATTTTGATTAAACAAACCCTAGGTGGTCGACAAATTTGGTAATGCCTCAGCCTTAATCTCAACTCCAAATGTACCAAAGAGATGATAAGAATAAGATAACAGGAATGGGAAATGGGAACTTTGGAATCAGATCTTGTCACTTAATTAGTAACTGACTACTCAAGAAATTCAGACATAGGACTGGGGATTTAGCTCAGTGGTTCCTCTGCTTGCAAGGTCCTGATTTTGATCCCTGGTACCAAAAAAAAAAAAAGCCAGACTTGAAAACTGGATTAGAAGACCCACAGGTGTTTTCTCTGTTTAATACCAAGAGAAAATACAGCCTGGACAAGAGGTAGTTGAATGTCCAGAGATATTTTTGGTTGACAGAGTTGGTGTGTTGGAAGGAAAGGGGATGGCTGCAGAGTCTGCTAATTAACCTGCCATACACAGACAGCCCCACAACAAAGAATTATACAGCCCCAAATATCAGTAGGGTGGAAGCTGAGAAGCCCTGACCTTGAGAAACTCTGTTTGTCCTGTACAGACGGGATAGGATGCAGCCTGAGCGTTCCAGACCTGCTACAAATCTCCAGAACAGAAAGCACTTAATTATTTTGTTTCTCATTTATTGTCCCTTTGGGAGAAAAGAAGAAAAGAAAGTTTAAGTAGAGCAACTACATAGATGGGATCCCATTATTCCATTGAACTCTGCTGAGTGCGTGTGTGTGTGTGTGTGTGTGTGTGTGTGTGTGTGTGTGTTTTGAGGTACTGGGGCTCGAATTCAGGACCTTGTACTTGGAAGGCAGGCTATGGCACCACTGAGCTAAATCCCCAGCCCTCTGCTGAGTGTTTTTATCATGGGCTTTAAGAACATTTAAAACTCACTATAATCAAAAAAATAAAATTAAATTAAAATTTTAAAAACTCACTATAATGTCTTTGGGGCAGTAATGCAAAATAAGCCTTCTGAACCTTTTAAAAATTATTTACCTTGCTTGTCATTTGTTGCTTGCTGCTTGCTGCCATCTCCCTACCTGCTCTGCAATGCCCCTCTGCCATGGCACCCTGCCTTGGAGCCAGCCAACTGAACTGAAACCTCTACCAACTATGAGCTGAAATAAACCTTTCCTCCCTTTAAAAAAAAAGAATTATTTACCAATAATGATAGCAAAACCTATTCTATCTTATTCTACTTTTCACAACCTCAGTCCTAGAAAAACACTCAAAACCCTAAAAGATGGTATGTTCAAATAATGGATTGTAGGGCCTGCGGATTTAGCTCAGTGGTGCCTCCCTCTGCCTGCCTCTCAAGCACAAGGTCCTGAGTTCGATCAAAACATAAACAAACAAAACAAATAATGCATTGTAATTTAAAAACAAACCAAATTTACACACATGAACCCACATGTGTATATGTGCATATCATTTGATTTTCTTAATAACCATGGACGGAAAATAGGGCAGGTGCTCTAACTTTACAGACGAGGAAATGGAGTCTCAGAGACAATGTGACTTAAGTTCACACAGCTCCCAATAGACAGAAATGGAGGACTGAAACCCAGTAGCCCTGACCTGACCCTTTGTGCTCTCTCTACTGTTTCATCTCCCTTCTCTAGGTTTCCAGAAGCATTTGTATTTAGCTCCATAATATACAAATCTGAAACACATAATGTCAAACACAGTTTTGGGGGTTTTTTTGTCGCTGCTGAGGACACTAAAAAGTACAAGCAGTAACTTGTCTTAAGGGAGGTATTTGGAGTCAGGGAAAAAAAGGGTTAGGCAAGACTGAAGACTGATTTCTGAGCTGGATTTCATTACTATCTCGCTTTATGACTTTCAGCAAGTCATAGGACCTCTCTGCCTTAATTTGACCATCTTCTCTCAGTTTTGTGGTAATAACATGGCCTGAAACCTATGAAGGCCATCTTTAAAACCATTATGGTCCACTAAAATGTTTTAAAATTCAATTTATTTCCTTGAAATAGTGTATATACATACACGTCACTGGCAGCAATGTTGATCATGGATGACAGTCCAGTGGCCTGATTTTTGAAGGCTGTGAACATCCCAATGATAGGGCTTTTATAACTTCTTTGTAACTTTATAAATTTAATTCAGAAGTTGAAGCTTCTTATTTATCAATCGAAGAAGAATGAATAGAGAAAAAGAAAATGAGAGAGAGAAAAAGGTAATTATTTAACATCTAAAAGCAAAATTGTCAAAATAGAAAAAAGAAAATTGTACTCAACCGTAGGAGCAGGGTGGCAGGGAGAGCCTTTGAATGTGTGAGAACCACCTTACAATTAAAAGCAAAGCATCGGGCCAGGGATTTCGCTCAGCGGCACCACGCCTGCCTCACAAGCAAAAGGTCCTGAGTTCGATCCAGTACCAAAAAAAAAAAGCATGAAATAATATATTTTAGATCCCAGTTTCCTTTCAGAATTGGATACCCTTCAGAAAAGGTGCTAAGAGTTTATATTACCCTGGTTTAGCTTGTTGTACTGGTTATTAGAAATAGAGAAGCAATACCTTTGAAACAGAGTGGGATTTCCATACTAGTGTTTCTTTTACAGGTTAACCAAAAAAGCCAATTGGACTAACCTTGTGTGTCTTTGTCCTAAAAGTTACCACAGGAGTGTGAGCAGCACCACTTCCACAGCAAAGTCTGGCCTTACCACATCTTGGGAAGAGGATGGCCACTACTCGGAGTGCAGCCATTTTCACGCTGGTGATATCCTGTGTTTGCAGCACAGTCTTCCATAGAGACCAGCAGACATGGTTTGAGGGTGTCTTCCTATCTTCCATGTGCCCCATCAATATCAGCGCGAGCACCTTCTATGGAATTATGTTCGATGCAGGGAGCACTGGGACTCGAATTCATGTTTATACCTTTGTGCAGAAAATACAAGGTAAGTGCAGTTGGACCCTCACCAGACTCTGTGAATCCATGCTTTAGCATTTCCTCCCACAAATAAATGTGCTGAAGTATGATGTAGAGTCAAGAATCTCACAACTACTGAGTGACTTCCTTCAGAGAACACTTTGGACTTTAATCAAACACATAATTTTTTTTTTTTTCTTGGTACCAGGGATCAAACTCAGGACCTTGCGCTTGCAAGGTAAATGCAGAACCACTGAGCTAAATCCCTGGCCCTCAAACACATAATTTAATTTGATGTGAAGTGAAGAGAAATCTGGGCTGCCTATAGTCTGAAACCCATATATCCAAAAAATATAGCTCATTTGTCCTTCCCCTTCTCTGAAGTTGGTTAATACCCCAGGGGTCCAGAACATTGAGAATATTGGGAGTGATCTTAGGGAAAGGATCATGTGGGTATTTCTCTGTCATCCTTGGAGAAGAGACTAAGGGGACCCTGAAGATTAACTTTTTCTGAACTGTCCCCCAAGGAGCCTGGGGAAAGGAATAGGAGCTAGGGATCTACCAGAGAAATGACAGAGGCCCTTAAGGGTTGCCATCTAATTCTCCTTCCTAATACTTCAGCAAGACAGTGCTTGCAGGTGGGATCATTAGCATGGGAGAAGAGTAGGTTAATCTAGTAAGTGATAGATGATTTACACAGCCTAGCAGCCTAACTTTTGGTAATCAGCCAACTGTCTTCTTTTTGTTCTGGGGACAAAATAGGACAGCTTCCAGTTCTGGAAGGGGAAATTTTTGAATCTTTGAAGCCAGGACTTTCTGCTTTTGCAGATCAACCAAAGCAGGTGAGTTTCCTATTATTTGATGTTTAGATTCTCAGTGCCTTGATAACTTAACCACACCACTGCTATTAAACACCTCATGCTGTTCATGAATGATTTTGAGAGCATGTGTGAGATCAGCGTCCTCTCCTCAGTCTCCTGTATGTATCAGGCTCACTAGCGCTGAGAAGGAGGCTAGAAAATAAGTTGTGCTCATGCAGGAATGACCAGCTTTTTAAGAGATTGCTCTCTTTGTATTTACTGTTTAAGATTTTGAGTCGAAGCCAACTACAACATTAGTCAATGTAAATACAGAAGATAAGCATAACGTTCTGTAGCATATGAACTATACACATGGAAGTTGAGGGATAGAGAATTTCATTTCAGAGTGCCTCATTAAGAAGGGAACCTTGCCTGTTCCTGAGAAATTAGGCAGCAGCCCACAACGACAAAAATCTTCAGTAGTAGAAGATGAATGGAGTTCGTGGTGCCTGATGGCTGTATTTCTCATTTGAGCCCCCCACAATATACTGCACTCAGTGTGTCTGGTGTCAATGCTGAAATAAAAGAGAGTAAGGCAGAATGTTGAACTTTGGTAGTAGATATAAAGTATTGTTCAGTGTCAACAGAATTAACCGAGGGAAAACCTGATGTTAAGAATGGGTTGAGTTGCCAGGCGTCGTATGTACACCTGTAATAATCCCAGAACTTATAAGACTGAGGCAGGAGGATCATGAATTTAAGGTCAGCCTGGACATAATAGCAAGATCCTGTCTAAAAAAACTAAAAAGCAACAGAGAAATAAAGGGTCTGAAAGCCTGCTAAGTTGTATGCACATTTCATCCCAGACTCAGAATGCTGCAGAGGGAGGATCCACTTAAGTCCAGAAGTTCGAGACCAGCACCAGAAAAATAATGAGACCTTATGTTAAAAAATAAAAAAATAAAAAAAAAAAAAGGGAAGAAGGAGAGGGAAATGTTTTGAGCTTGAAAACTGAGAGGACGTATTCTCTCAGTTCAGTGTCACCTGAAATGGCAAATGCAGCATGAAATTAGGGCTGTTGAAATCAACTGTTTTATCGGAAAATGATCTGACATTTAGAAAGGATTGTGTTAATGGTTGCAATACTGGGAATTGAACCCAGGCCTTGTGCATGCCAGGCAACAACTCTACCACTGGCCTATATCCCTAGACCTTGTTTTTTTAAAATTTCATATTGGAACAGGGTCTCACTAAGTTACCCACCCTGACCTCAGACTTGTCATATTATCTCAGCCTCCCAAGTAGCTGGAATTACAGGCATTTACCGCCACACCTAGCTGAAGTATTGGATTTTTTAAAAATGATTTTCATTTATTGTAAATAGAGCATCTACTGGGTGCCATGCATTGTAGATGCTAGTGATCCAAAAATGAACCTGTCACCATTTGTCCTTAAGGAGATCATAAAAGTGTAGCATGTTAACCTCTGCAGCTAGCATTTGTGGGATAAGCACATGCATTCTGCCTCATCTAATGTGTCCAGCAGCTTAGTGGTGGTGTGAGGCATAGCTCCTGTCTCTCACTAAGGAAACCAAGTCCTGGGTAGGCCTGGTGACCCATGTTAGGGTCACAGGGCTGGAAAGGAACCCTGACTCCAGCTCCTGAGTGTCCTGCACTATACCTAGCTTTCTGACCTCACTGAATTTATTGAAACATAAGACAACAATCATTGAGCATGGTGGCTCACACATGTAATCCCAGCACTCGGGAGGCTGAGGCAGGAGGATGGTCATGTGTTCTACGTAGTGAGTTCAAGGCTAGCCTGAACTACATAGCAAGACACTGTCTTAAAAAAAAAATCAGTTAAAATGACCACACTATAAAAGAATAACTTTTATTGTGGCTATCAAATGAAACAGAGATAGGCTTTAAAAAACAAACAGAGAATTCAGTGGATATTTCTGGAAAGCACCCTACATCTCTAGGTTTCTGCTGTCACAGGCCAGAGAGCAGTTGGAGGCTTTGGCCTCATCAGCTATGTTGCTCCCCCAAAGCACTTTGAAGTGACAGACCAGTGCTGCCAGTGGGCTGTTCATTGGATGAATGGGTTCTCTCTTTTGAAGGGCGCTGAGACTGTTCGAGTACTGTTAGAGGTGGCCAAAGATTCAATCCCCCGCAGTCACTGGAAAAGAACCCCCGTGGTGCTGAAGGCAACAGCAGGGCTGCGCTTACTGCCAGAACAGAAAGCCCAGGCTCTGCTATTTGAGGTAATTTTTTTTTTTTCTGATACCGGGGATCAGACTCAGGACCTTTCACTTGCCAGGCAGGTGGGGCACCACTGAGCTACATTCCTGACCTTGAGGTAATTCTGTCTTTTCCTCTATATGAATATTTTATTTTCTGTTCAAAATTATGTCCATTTTAAATATACAGTTAAATGAATTTTGACAAATATAGTAGTTTCCTTGTCCATTTCCCCACCCCTGAAATCAAGAAACCCCTAATCTTCTTTCTGTCACTATTCGTAAGTTTAGCTTGATCTTACATTTCATATGAATGGAATCATACAGTTTATATTTTCTTTTTTTATGTCTGGATTTTTTCTCTTACCATTAAAGCTTTTGAGAATTATGCAGTTTTGGTTTTTCTTTTTTCCCTATGTGGTTCATGCTAGCCTTGAACTCACTAGTCCAGGCTGGCCTTGAACTCTCAGTGATCCTCCTGCCTCAGCATCCTGAATGCTGAGATTACAGGCATACACCACCATGCATAGCAAATTTGAAATATTTATTTATTTATTGGTTTGTTTGTGTGGTTTTTGTTTGTTTGTTTGCGTTACCAGAGCTCAAACTCAGGACCTCGCATTTGTGAGGCAGGTGAGGTGCCATTGAGCTAAATTCCTGGCCCAATTTGAAGTAATTAAAGTCATTTATTAAAAAAATTTTTTAAATGTCAGGCCGGGGATTTAGCTCAGTGGTTCCGGTACCTGCCTCGCAAGCACAAGGTCCCAAGTTCGATCCCCGGTACCAAAAAAACAAAAAATTTTTTAAATGTCATTTTACAAGTCATTTTTTAAAATCCTCTTTTTCTGTTCAGATGAAAAACTTAACTATAGAGTTTATTAAACTTAGTATTTAAAATAGAAACACATAGGGCCGGGGATTTAGCTCAGTGGTGCCACCGCCTGCCTCACAACCACAAGGTTCTGAGTTCAATCCCCAGGACCAAAACAAAACAAACTAACAAAAAAACCACACAACATTAAAATAGAAACACATAGTATGTATGTATGCATGTATGTATTTATTTATTTATTTGTACCAGGGATTGAATTCAGGACCTTGCACTTGCAAGGCAGGTGCAGCACCACTGAGCTAAATCCCCAACCCATAGTATTTAAATTTCACATTGTAAAGAATATTTATAAGCAGAACCCCATCATTAAAATTAAAAAATCACAGCAAAAAAGGATTCTGCATTACAGTTGTGCTATTAGTACTCTGAGTTGATTTTCCTTCGACTGTCAGCACAGAGGACTTACGTCCCTTCTCCAAGGACAAACAGCCAAGCACATCTGTGTGAAAATCTGAACTTCGATCCTTTGTTTATTTATCTAGTACCTGAGTACTGGGGCTTGGGGATGTTGCTGGGATGCCAACAGCAGGGAAAAAAAAGAAGACGAACACTGTCTGCCCTGTGGGGTTTGTATTAACAGTTTCAGAGAAACAAAATAAACAGCTAAACAAGTAAGTGCAAAGTGTGTCAGGCACTGTACATGCTGTGGAGAGAAACAGCAGGGTACAGCAGGCCAGGAGTGCTGGTACAGGTGAGGGCAGAGATGCTATTTTAGTCAGCAGTCAGCAAAACCTCTTTGATAAGATTCATTTGAGCCAGGGTGGTGGCACACGCCTGTCATCCCAGCGCTCAGGAGGCTGAGGCAGGAGGATCACTGCAAGTGGAGGCCAGCCTGAACCACATAGTGAGACCTTGTCTCAAATCCAACCAAACAGAAGACATTTGATCAGAGAGAGATCTGAGGGGAATAGAGAAGCACTTATATAAGATATTTGTGAGAACAATATTTCAGGCTAAAGAAACAGTGCAGAGGTCAAAATGAGGAACATGTACAGTATGTTCAGAGCACCCTCCAGGAAGTCAGCTGGAGGTGACTGGATAGTGAGAGGGAAGTGGAGATGAGATCAGAGAGGTAGAGAGTAATTTATCATATAGGCTCTCGAAAGCCAAGTAAAGACTTCGGCTTATTCTCTAAGAAAGAAGCTAGTAGAAGATTTTGAGCTAAGGAGAGCTGATGTCCATTTTAAAAACACCGTTCTGAGCTGGCCATGGTGGCACACACCAGGAATCCTAGCTACTCATGAGTCTGAGGCAAAAAGATCACAATTCGAGGCCAGGCTGGACAACTTAGCAAGACCCTGTCTCAAAAAATGGGCCTGGGGATGTAGCACTGGTACTTGTCTAGTAAGCAGGAGGCCCTGGATTCAATCCCCAATACTGCAGTAAATAGATAATAAAAGCACCCTTCTGGCTGCTATGTTGAGAATGAACTGGGGTAGAAGAGAGGAGGGGAGAAGGCAAGAGCAGAATCTTCTTATTCCTGTTTGCTTGTCTTGTCTTCTCCTTAAAAGCTTATTTGTTATGTTTGTTTGTTTGTTTGGTTTTGGTACCAGGGATTGAACTCAGGACCTGGAGCTTGTGAGGCAGGCGGTGGCACCCCCGAGCTAAATCTCTGTTCCTAAAAGCTTGTTTATAGATCATGGATCTGGCTTTCCTGGTTGAACCAGGGTCCAGAGGTCACTGCTTTTGTGACCATAACAAAATAAGCCATGGCAAACATATCATTGGGTTGTATTTATGAAGAATCAAAAGCATTTGTAGGGGATCTTGGTTCCCTCCTCCTAATACAGGATCTGTAAGTCTAGGTCTGGGTCCTGCGACTCTAGAGGCCCCAGCTATGTGTCAGCATTCAACCAGGGGCTGGTAGCAGATTACCTTTGGAGTCCTTCCACCATAGCAGGTTCCTCTGCTCATGCAAAGAGTGACTGGGAGAGGCTCCTCCCCACATCCTGTGTATGCCCAGGTGGACTTAATCAAGAGGTTTTCACAAAACTTTAGGATCCTGATTGGCATAGCAGGGTCAGATAAATGCTTTTTCCTAAGTCCGGTTAATCTATAAATTCAATGGTTTGATAGAGATTTACTTTATAATCGAAGAAATCCTTGTGTTTGTGTTTTTGCACATAAAATAGTAATGGCTGCCTAATTCTTTTTCTGGTTTTTAGGGAAAAGTTATGAGTTCTGCTAAAATTGTATCCAATGAAAATAAAGTAGTTTTGTAAGCTTTACAGAACTCAGCTAAAATGTGCACTTCTGGGTTTTTTTGTTGTTGTTTTGCTTTTTAATTTTTGAGACAGGGTCTTACTATGTAGTCCAGGCTGGCCTGGAACTCACAGTGATCCTCCTGCCATTGCCTCCAGAGTGCTGGAATTACAGGCATGCACCACCATGCCTGGATGCACATCTGGTTTTTTTGTTTTGTTTTGTTTTTGGTACTGGGGATCAAACTTGGGACCTTTCACTTGCAAGGCAGGCACTGGAACCACTGAGCTAAATCCCTGGCCCATGCACATCTGTTTTATTACCTCAGGGAATCCAGATTTTTTTCCTTTCATTTTAGGTAGAGGAAGCCTTCAAGAAGTCACCTTTCCTGGTTCCTGATGACAGTGTTAGCATTATGGACGGCTCCAGTGAAGGTGGGCAGGATGGGCAAAATAACATTCACTGAAAGATCTAACTAAAGAGCTGGGGACTGGGATGAAGTGCTAAAGAAAAAGAAACTAAATAAGGAGAAACAATACAAAAGACTAATGGGATAGCAGGAAATACAGCCACACAGGAAAAGGGAACTATATACTGTAATCATGAAATTTCAAAGAACAAAAGTTGAACCAGGAAAAAAATGCTCTAGAGTGTAATTCTTGTCTTTCTCTCTTTTAGGCATATTAGCTTGGATTACTGTGAATTTTCTAACAGGTAATTGCATCCTCAAGTTTGTGTTAAGACCTTAACTAGTTGAGTATGGTGGCATACATCTGTTATCTTAGCACTCCTACCACAGAAGATTGCAAATTTGAGGCCATCCTGGACTACATAGTGAGACCCTGTCTCAGAAGGAGGGGTGGGGGGAAGGACCTTATCTGGCATAACTGGAAAAGTGAAAATCCCTTTCTCTTTTTCCTGTATTGTACTTTTGTACTTTATTTACAAAAGAGAGTGAGAAGCTGGGCATGGTGGCACATGCCTGTAATCCTAGTACTTGGGAGGCTGAGGCAGGAGGATCACTGTGAGAGGCCAGCCTGGGCTACATAGTGAGACCCTGTCGAGAGAGAGAGAGAGAGATAGAGACCAGAATATGGTGTTGCCAGCATGTAATTCCAATACTTGGGAGGCTGAGGTAGGAGAAGTGCAAGTTCGAGGCCTGCCTTGCTAATTTAGTGAAATCCTATCTTTTAAAAGGGGCTGGGAAGGCCGGGGATTTAGCTCAGTGGCACTGTGCCTGCCTCACAAGTGCAAGGTCCTGTGTTTGAGCCTCGGTACCAAAAAAGAGCAAAAAATAAAAGGGGCTGGGGATGTAGCTCAGTGGTAGAGTACTTCAGGGTTCAATCCCTAGTACTGCCCCCCACAAGTAGAAAAACATGAAATTAATAGTTATACCTGTCTTCAAGGTCTCATGTGCTCCAAGAGTCCCCCTGACTTGACACTTGCAGCCTTTGAGGCCGGGGGGCGGTGCATATTTATGGAATAGCTTTGGTGTACAAGAGCAGGAGAGAATTGCCTGAAAGTGGGTGTTGGGCTCTGCAGATGTGGGAGACATTCTGAGCTCTCTGTTAACAGGTCAGCTGCATAGCCATAGCCAGGAGACTGTGGGTACCCTGGACCTGGGAGGGGCTTCCACCCAAATCACATTCCTGCCCCAGTTTGAGGTGAGTCATTCACACAGTCTGTTAGCAGCACACTTGGCAGGCATATCATGGTATCAAGAAAGCAGTGCCCTGTTTTCTAGCAACAGCTCTACCACAAACAGGCTGAGTCATTGTGACTGGCAAGCTTCCCCTTGCCTTTCACTGTTATAGAGTCCCTTCAATTTCTCAAGCATTGTGAGGTTGGCAGCTTCACCCGTCTCCATCTCTGATTTGTGGGGGGAGGGACAGGAATGGTGGTGATAAGAGAGTGTCAGATAATTACAAATCCTGAATAGTCTTTTTGCTTTTTCTGATTTGCAGAAAACCCTGGAACAAACCCCTAGGGGCTACCTCACTTCCTTTGAGATGTTTAACAGCACTTATAAGCTGTATACACATAGGTGAGGAAGGGGACAGGGAAGAAGTTTTCACATTGTATGATTCTCCTAACTTTTCAAGGCATTCTCAGACCTATCACTACATTTGATCAGCCTTATCTTTGCCAGTCCCCTAAGACTTGTCAGCAGAAACCCATAGTACTTACCAAACCCAAGGGACCTAAAGAGGCTTCTCCATTTCTGACCTCAAAAATACGTGTCAGAAGAGTCAAACATTTCCTTTAGAGGGAGGACATGTGGAGAAGGCTCAGCAAAGCTCTTCAGCAATCCTGCCTGGCATTTGAACCCAGTTGGGGTGAGGAGGAACAAGATAATGAGGGCCTTTCTGAGGGTGGCTCCCAGGGTGGTACCCTAGGAAGGATCACTATTGCTGGCCTTTGAGTCAGACCTGTGGGCAGTTCTTAATGCATAGCTTTGATCCAAAAGGTATAAACATTTCCTTTTTTGACCACATAAGATGAGTAAATCACAGAGATATAACAAGATTTTCATCTTCAAAGAATTACTTTTAAAAGATGTAACTTAGGGCTGGAGAACCTGAAGACTAGAAAGAACTTGGTCAATCCTATATTTTACAGTTACTTGGGACTTGGATTGAAAGCTGCAAGACTAGCAACACTGGGAGCCCTGGAAACAGAAGGTTTGCCTGGGTACCTATGCCGGGTGGAGGGTGGTGGGGGTGACACTGGTACTCAGCTTGTTGCTTCCTTCCTTGGCCATGATTCTATAGAGGAAAGATTTAGGTTGAATTAGAAAGCCTGGGTTGTATAAAGTACATAATAATTGCAAATTCCTTGTCTATCTTAGAAGATCAGGTGCTTTGCTATGTATTATTAGCCATTTTTAGAATGAAGTCTACTTGTATAGGGCTAACAGCCTGTAGCTAGGAGCCTGAAGCTTCTGCAGAAAATTAGGGCTCAAAGAGCGTATTTGGCAGAAGCTTGCACAAGCCCTTACCCTTATGTGGGCTGTGCAGGAAGCAGGGTCTGTTACATTTGTAAGGTAGAATAACTGAGCAACTCCATTCATCTCTTCCTAGTTGGGGTCAGGCAGAACTGGATGCAGTCCCAGTTTTGTGATTTGGATCAAGTTTCCTCACCTTAGGTGTTTGACTTGGTATTTGATGCTCTCTGTGTGATGCCTGGCTCATGGTAAACCATTAATGGAATGGCTATTGTATAGTGCTTCATAGTTTTCTGAACATTTTCAAGTGTATTTCATTAAGCTTCTTGACTACTACTGAAGAAAGGTAGCATAGTAGTTAACCCCACTGTAGACAGGAGTAAACTTTATTGTGGGGTTTTGGTTTCATTGAGATGTGATGAAAACCATGCACCCCACAGACCTATGAACCCTGAGTCAAGAATTTCTGTCACAGAAAAAGAAAGAAAGAAAGAAAAAGTATTGCTGTCATAGGATGCAGTTAAGGAACTAATTTCACAAAATTTTAAGGCCCCGCCCTCTTGGTAATCCCTTTCAGCCTTACAGATTTCTTGCATACCTTTCTCTTTCTCTCTCTCTGTCTCTCACTTACCTGCCCCTTTTTACTCTGGTTTCTTTTAGCAGTTGAGGGACACACTTTCCGAAGTGCCTGTCTACCAAGATGGCTGGAAGCAGAATGGATCTTTGGGGGTGTGAAATATCAGTATGGTGGCAACCAAGAAGGTGAGTAATATTTTTCATGACTTTTACAGTAGAAGTTCTGCAAAGTCTCACAAGAAATTTTCCTGAGCTCAAGAAAGCTTATCATGTTGCAGGCACTCATTCCAAAAATCTTTGTATGCCTCCAGGGACACATGTGAAGGGACAGCAAACAAGGCAGCTGTCACTCTGCAGCCTGTTTCTGTTTCCCTGAGAGAGTATCACAGATCCATTAGAAATCTGTTGGCAGCCTGATTCTAATGTAGCTGCATTAAACCATTTCAGGATTGTTAATGTTTAGCTATTTAAATCATAGTAAAACTTAAAATTGAGATGATAGAATGATTTAGATATTATAAAAGGCATAAACTTAAAATTAAGGAAGAAACTTGTTTTCTCAGTGAAGGAACCAGGTGAGCCCTCTGAATACTTGCTCACAGAGACCATGGGAAACAATGGTGGGCAGCAGCACCAGGTCGGCTGGAGCTGTTTGGTGAACATGGGTTAGACTTTTTTTTTTTTTTGAGACAGGGTCTCGCTAAGGTAGGTCAGGCTGGCCTTGAACTTACTATATAGTCCAGGCTGGCCTCAAATTCATGGCGATCTTCCTGCCTCAGCCTCCCAAGTGATGGGGTTACAGGCATGGGTCACCATACCCAGCTCAGAACATGGGGTTAGAGAGGTGAGCTGCCCTGGAGAAACAGTAGTGGGATTGCAGAAGTTTACTCATCTTTCATTTTTTCACCTACTGTCCCCTCCTTGGCTGCAGCAGCTTGCCTCAGAGAGGCCCCTTGCCCTATCCCTGTTCTCAGCTTGAGCTTTTGCCCTGGCAGGGAAGGTGGGCTTTGAGCCCTGCTATGCTGAAGTGCTGAGGGTGGTACAAGGAAAACTTCACCAGCCAGAGGAGATCCGGGGAAGCTCCTTCTACGCCTTCTCTTACTATTATGACCGAGCTGTTGAGACAGACATGATTGGTGAGTTTGCCTCTGCAGTCAGGATAGGAGGGCAGGTGGAGCACTGTGGTGGGGAAGGCCAAGGCCACGTGGTACTCATCTCTGGTGCTGTGTTGCACCAGCCTCTCCAAGGGGAGGACTGTAGCAGACATCCCTGCCCAGTATTACTTGGGGTCTTTGGGAGCTAGCTAGAAGATGACTTAAACAACTGGACACAAAGTCTTTTCCTTTTTTTTTTTACACCTTTATTGAGGTATAAATGACGTACAATAAATGCATGTGTTTTTAGTGTAGTTTGCCAAGTTTTGTCACATACCTGTGAAACCATCACCACATTCAAGATAATGACAACTAATCCTAAGCAGTTTCCTCCTGCTTTTTAGGATTGCTTTTTTCCATATCACCAAAGGTTTTTTTTGTTTTTTTTTTAAGACCAAAGTTTATGCCTTCTGGACTGGGGATTTAGCTCAGTGGTGCTGCCGCCTGCTTCTCCAGCGCAAGGTCCCAAGTTCTATCCCTGGTACCAAAAAACAAAAAAAAAAGTTTATGCCTTTTATTTACCTGGGAATGTATATGTAGATGCCCTATCATGGCCTGAGAAATATGAATTAAATTCCTATTTACTGGGTTTTTTTATGAGCCTACTTGCTTATTGTAGTTAAATATATATAACAGAGTAGATAACACACATTAATTGTAAATAAATAAAATAGGCAGCACAGATTTTTGTATTGTATGGATATGTATTTGTGTATTCCAGTCTTTAATGTTGGAAATTTTATTTCCAGTTTTTCAATATTATTACAATATTATTACAAATATCACTAGCGTAAATTTCCTTGTTTCCTTGAAGGCTTTTTGACAGCAGCTCCTGTTCTGTCTCATTTCAGATTATGAAAAGGGAGGCCTTTTAAAAGTTGAAGACTTTGAAAGAAAAGCCAGGGAAGGTGAGTGTCAGGAAGCCCTTGAAAGGCAGACTGTGCGGGGCACCTGTCAACTCAGTGACCTGAGTGACCACTCAGAGGATGCTTCCAGCCTGTACCAGAATTGAAAGTGTCAGGTGGCATAGACAGGGCAAGAATATAGGATACAAGAAGCTTTGGGGAAATGGTGAAAATTGTCTTTCTACATTTCTGTCTTGGGTTTTTTTTTTTTTTGGTACTGGCGATCGAACTCTGGACCTTGAGCTTGTGAGGCAGGTGGCGGAACCACTGAGCTAAATCCCTGGCCCTCTTTCTTGTTTTTTAATTGAAATATTATCAGTGTTAATGAAACAACAAGTACATGGGTAGCCTCAGGTGCTTCCTTGAGAGGGTCACTCCAGATAAGATACAAATGATCTTATCCAGTGGCCCTACCTACCAGCAGGATAAATGATATTTCCCTGTCTTCTGGGTCTTTGAATTAATGCTAGATAAGGAACTTAGAACTAAGCCCCCAGAATTGGTCATAGAAATTTGGCAAATAGGGGGCTGGGCATGTAACTCAGTGGTAGAGTACTTGCCTAGTATATGCAAGGCCCTGGGTTCGATCCTCAGCATCCCCATCCAAAAGAAATTTCATAAGTAAACTCAGACCTGTGTAAACATGAGCAGTTAAGATTTCACACCAGATTTGTACAGGTTCTTAAAAAGCTGTGGTCTTAAAGAGGCAATCAGTGCACAGCCTAATCTCCGAGAATCCCACCAACAAAACAGACTCCAGTTCTGCATCTGAATTTAGAGAAAATCTTGCATCTGTCAGCTCATTACACACTTGAACTCAACCGGGCACTGGCTGTCACTTTCAGTTTGTGATAACTTGGAGAACTTCACCTCAAGCAGTCCTTTCCTATGCATGGATCTCAGCTACATCACAGCCCTGTTAAAAGATGGCTTTGGCTTTGCAGACAGCACCATCTTACAGGTAAGAGAGAGGTCACTGTAGGCCCTAACAGTCTTCTTTTGTTGGTATTTGAAAGAAGTTAAGAACTTGCTTAGTAATCAGAATAGCTATAGATGGAGGTATTTGTGTTCAGGCGAGGCATGAAATTGTGAATTTGGGATTGAAGTAAACTAGTTTGTCTTCTAAGCTCGTTCCCCTCCCACCTTCCCATGTATCAACTCCTGTTTCCCCAGTTTGAGAGTTTACATTGCCCTGTATCTTGTGTTATACATTTCAGTCATGCCTAGTGAGGTATATGGATTTAATGTATTGTTACATGTCAGCAATATCAGCATTTAAAGTGCTTAACACAGAAGAGTTACCTGCCAGGAAAGTCAATATAACTTAAGTTTAAGAAGCTGTGGTCTTGGAGGAGAGCAGGGGTTCTGTTGCCCTCAAGGCTCCATTCAAGTTCTGATTCCCCAAACTGACTAACTCTGTGACTTTATGTGATTTGCTTCCCCTCTCAAAGTTCCTGATTCAAGCTACAAGAATCATTACAATACATATTTCATAGAGCTGTTAAAATAATTGAGGCAATCCATATAAAGCACAATACCTGGCATGTAGTGTTGTTAATATTGGTATTACTGGGGTGGGTGGGGGGTTAGCTAAGTGGCACCACACCTACCTCGAAAGCCAGTTCAATCCCCGGTATAAAATACATATATATATATTGGTATTACTATTAGTGGAGGCATTTCACGCCAGTTGGGGATCAGTTTGTGAATAACAATGATCATCCTATCCAGGCATGGTGAGGCATGTCTGTAATCCCAGCACTGTGGTAGACGAGGCAGGAGGATCACAAGTTAAAGCCCAGGTTAGATAAATTAGTGACTTGGGGCCGGGGATTTAGCTCAGTGGTTTTGCCGCCTGCTGCACAAGCATAAGGACCTGAGTTCAATCCCTGGTACCAAAAAAAAAAAAAAATTAGTGACTTAACAAGACTGTGTCTCAAAATGTAAAAAAAAAAATTTCAAATTTCTGTTTTGAAAACCATATTTAATCAACAAAAGCTGCTGGGGATTTAGCTCATTGGTGCCTGCCTGGAAAGCGCAAGGTCCTGAGTTCGATCCCCAGACCAGAAAAAAAAGCTTACACAGAATGTCAATAATATAAACTGATAAAGTAGAGCTCTTCTTTTTTTTTTTGTACCGGAGATCGAACTCAGAACCTTGCACTTGCAAGGCAGGTGCCAGAACCACTGAGCTAAATCCCCAGCCCCAGAGCTCTTCTTTTGAATCAAAAGTTAGGGGCCTAGAACTCCCTTGCCATTCAGATTCCCTTTCTCCTTCAAATCATTTCCAAGGATTCCCGGGAATTCTGAAGAAAACAATTTGATAGGCTATGAATCCCCTTGTTCTGTAACTGAGGAAATCAGATCTAAAGTCTTGCCCAAGGTCACCTTGCTAATTGAGGCACAGATTGGTCCAGAATGCCTTAGATGCCCTGATTAGTTTAATAGTGCTTAAGAAGAAGCAGTTCCTTACATAGTATGAATTGAGAAGCTTGGTGTGTTTTCCTACCCCTACATGTATTTCCAACTCCTGATAATGCTCCTTCTACCACATCCATTAACATTTCATTTCAAGTTGCCTTATTAAAAAGAGGTGATTCAGAAAGTAAAGCAGGGGATGCTGTTTCAGGATTAAGAGCTCAGAAGCCTGTCTTTGTAGATCTCTCTAGAAGGCCTGAGGGGGACCACTTCCTGGGCTGAAGCACTCAGGAATGAGAGTGGTGGGCGTAGGGCCATAGGCCAGAGGCTACTGGCTGAGGGAGACTGTCACTGAGGGGAGCAGTGGGTAGCCTCCCAAGGCTGGCTGTTCTGAGTTTTGCCTAGGTTTGGGCATATACATGGTCTTCGAAAGTATTATCTGCCTAAGTGCCATGCTTGTTAGAATTGAATAAAAATGTGAAATTGTGTTTTTTTTGTTTTGTTTTGTCTTGTTCTCAACAGCTCACAAAGAAAGTGAACAATATAGAGACGGGCTGGGCCTTGGGGGCCACCTTCCATCTGTTGCAGTCTCTGGGCATCTCCCACTGAGCCACATGCTTCCTCCAGGCCTGTATTCATCCACAGCCTCTAACAGGAGGGCCCTGTTGCTCTGAGCTCCTCTGGGTGCTGAAACCCAGCAGCTGGCTTTTCAGGGAAAGGGACTTTTATAGCCAGGTCTTGCCCTTGAACCTAGAGATTTGGGTTTAATTTTACATATTGAATCGAATGTGAACCATTACCTGACCACTTGGGGTGCACAGCTGGCACTAGAGCTTGAATCTTTGAGATTCACTGTGTGAATCACAGTGAGCCACAAATAGCTCTGGAACTCAGCCTTGGGAGTGACGGCTAAAGGACAAGTTCCTGGGAACCAACAAAAAATCTCATTTCAACACTTGGGAGTGCCTCATTCCTTGGAAATTGTAATTTTCCTCTTACATGCTAAATTAAGCCAACTTATTTCAATCCTGTGGCCTATCAATACCAGTATTTTTTTCCTCCCTATATACTGTCCTGTCCCAACCGTTATGTGCAGCCTTTTCTCCTGAGAGAAAAAAATACCTAGTTTTGCTATGTGTAATTGAAAAAAAAAAAAAGAAAGAAAGAAGAAAGGTACCATATCAGATTGCAGGTTTAAGAGGCTCTATAGCCGGGTGTGGTGGTACTTGCCTTGCCTGTAATCCCAGCTCCCAGCACTTGAGCCTGGGAGTTCAAGGCCAACCTGAGCAATACAGGTGCTTCTGGAGTGGGAGATGGAAATCACCGTGAAAAGTCTGAAGAAATTCCACTTTTAATTAAACAACTAAAATGAGTGGGGGGAGTGATATAGAAATAAAAATTTTTATTAGTAAGGGTTTGGTTTTTTTTGCAATACTGACTGTTGAACCGAGGGGCACTCTACCTGTGCTATATCCTGTCCTTTTTAGTTTTTGAGACAGGGTCTTGCCAACCTCAAACTTGTAATCCTCCTGCCTCAGCCTCCCTAATTGCTGGGATTACAAGTGTGTGCCACCTCACCCAGCCCTAAGGTCATCTTTATACTTTTTGCCTTCCTCAAAAAAATGCTCATGAGTGATGGAATGATAGTTTTTTTGGTTTTGTTTTTATTTTGAGATAGAGTCCTATGTAGTCCAGGGTGGCCTTAAATTCACAGTTGATCCTGCCTCAGCCTCCTGAGTGCTGGGACTATAGGTGTGTGCCACCACATCCAGCTTATCTTCTCAGGCTGCCATTCTAAAACCTTTCAAAATCTTAATAACTCCTAAATTCTTTATGCTGTCTTTTAACATTTGACATGACTTCTGGACCCCTTAACATCTTGTCAAAAAAGCAGATTGCTAGGCCAGTAGTGGCCCCCTAAATGTTATTCTACATGATTATTACCTACAGTAGAAACCAAGTTGTTCCCCCAAAAAGTAAGCTGTGTTCATTAAAAGATCCTCCAGCCTGACAGGCCCAGAGAGGTGAGGTTCCCATGGACATTTCTTACCACAGGCTGTCTCTGAAGTGGCTCCTAAGTAGAGGCTGGATTTGTGAAGTACATGTATTGTTCCCCAGACTCCTTTGGTCACCCCAATAGCTTTGGAACTCTTGGGTAGATACAGTCTCACTTCAGAAGATTTCTGCATTTATTCTGTTAATCTTGATCAGAATATCTGGAGAATTAGCCGATTGTTAGTTTTGTTTGTTTTTGGTACCGGGGATCAAACTCGGGTCCTTGCGCTTGTGCAGCAGGCATTGAAACCACTGAGCTAAATCCCCAGCCCTTCATTTGTTAGTTTTAAGTGCAATTTGGAATGAGAATTATCTTTCAAAAGATTTGTTGATGTACCTTTTGGGCTTCTAAGGGGTCCTGTGTATTCTAATATTACTGGTTAATTTCATCTCCGTAAATGGGTATGTGGAAAATACCTAGGATTTAGCCTGGCACATGGTGGATGTTGTGTTTATCATTGTTGTCACTATATGAAGAACTGTGAATCATGGAGATCCTTGAAAAGTGTGCCTTAAAATTCTGTCTTTGTCATTATACTTTTGGAGTCTAGATTCTCTACCTGGACAAACTTTCTTTTTTGGGGGTACCAGGCATAGAACTCAGGACCTTGTGCTTGAGAGGCACGTGCAGCACCACTGAGCTAAATCCCCTTTCCATTTCTTGTGATAGTGACCCTTTGTCTATAGTCTCTGCCAGTAGTCACACAGCTTTATACAGAGCTGTAATCTTTTCATTTGGGCACATTTTTCTGGATTTTAGGACATTATTATTTTTCACTCTGTATCTGAACACATTTTTCACATTTGCCTTAAAAGCTGCCCTATAGTATCAAACTTCTCATTCCTTCAAAAATTATTCCCAAGAATAGCTTAGCTTGGTTCAAAAGCAGACTGTTTCTTCTTATTTCATCTTCAAAGCAGGCTTTTGGGCAAAATGTTCTTTACAGTGTGCAAATCTAACAGCCCTGATGATCTCCTCTGGGGGAACTGTGGTGAGCTCTTTAGAAGCACAGCAGTACACTGCTCCCTTGCCGGCCACCAGTCTGCCAGCAAGCATGGACAGATTATGCTGCCCATCAGTGTCCCTTCTGACCTGATTCCTGAGGTCTTCAAACCTGGGCAATGAAATTATTATTTTATTACTGAGCAAGATTGGTGTCCTGGAGAGGAACCATAAGTAAAACTGAAATTTGATGCTGTGCTGAAGATGTAATAACTAGGATTAATAAGATTTGATTTTTTCCAGGCCGGGGATTTAGCTCAGTGGTTCCAGCGCCTGCCTCAAAAGCGCAAGGTCCCGAGTTTGATCTCCGTACCAAAAAAAAAAAAGATTTGATTGTTTCCAAGTCCAATGCACTAATAACAAAGGTTAAAGTACTTTGTATTTAATCTGCACTCTAATAAATTTTAAAACAAATCTAATAGAAACGTATTAATAGTTCTAATCCTTACCTCTTATCAGAAAAACAAATTTATGACCAGCACTTTCTCTTTAGAAAGGACTGTTAACTAACAAAAATGAATGGAACAACACCTCAGTAAGTTTTGTTTTAATAAAAAGCTCTTTTGAATCGAACAGTAACAGTCTTCCTGTGGAGTTTTTTTCCTCACAGCAAATTTTCAGTCCTTTAGGTTTCATAGGCATAGTTTCCATAGGAGAAAAAGACAAGAACCCTGATGTAAAATAAATTTATTAAATTACATCTTGGAAGTATAGGTGATGATCACGAGGTAGGATGTTCTTTTTTTCATCAACATAATCTCCAGAAGACAGCACTCATTTGCAGGCAAAGGCCATAATTTGTTCCTGTAGAAAAGGGGAACAAAGTGAGTGGCACTCACATACTAAGATTAGGAGACGTGAGGCAGATGCTCTCAGGGTTGGGAACATAGTTCAGTGGTAAGAGTTTGCCGAACATGCACAAGGCCCAGGGTTCAATTCCTTGTACCTTATTGCCCCAAAATGAAAAGTAAAAATAGTAAAGTACTTATAATGAAATATCCAAAGTGATCAAAGCAAAAACAGTCACAGAGATATTCTTCCTAAGAGTCGCTGTTTTATTTCAGCAAAAAAAAAAATCTTTAAATGGAAGTATCTCGCCGGGGATTTAGCCCAGTGGTTCCACCGCCTGCCTCGAAAGTGCAAGGTCCCGAGTTCAGTCCCCAGTACCAAAAAAAAAAAAAAAAA